CAGCTCTGGGACTAGGCTGGGCTTTCTGTGGAAAGGTGACCACATTGTCTGGCTGCCCACCAAAGCCTCTGTCTTTCTGATGCCTGATGGATTCCAAAAGCCCCAGGCTGGGATGGGGAGGCCCTGCCGCTCTCCCCCCACCCCCCACCCCCCACCTGGTCTCCACAGCGCCTTCCATCAAGGCAGAGGGCTGGGTCTGGAAAATGCAGGCAGGAGACGATAGTTTGCTTTAAGCCCTTCCTTTGGCTTGGGAATGTAAAATATTATCATTTTGGGTTTTTTTTTTGTTGTTGCCTGGAGATTTCCCTTCCCAAATGGATTTGGCTCTGGCCACAGTAAGATGAGTCTGCATTCCTCCCGCTCTGCCCAGTCTCCAATTCTAATTGTTGTGGAGACTCGAGACAGATGCTCGCGTGCTGACAACTGGAAGTCGGCTGCATGCTTGCCCAAGGCTGACAACTGGAAGTCAGCTGCGTGCTTGCCCAAGATACTCTCCTGCCATGCCGAAGCCTCCCGTTTTACAGATGGGGAAGTGAGACCAAAGAAGCCTCAAGACTCTCTCTGGACACAGTCAATGATGAGGCTGAGATTAGAATTCAGGTTACCCGACTCCTGCCCAAACTCCCCTGGGCTTTCCTTGAGTCTCCTTTTTACAGATGCCAGGCTGCCACAAGCCAGGTACCTACCACCTCATGTGGTAACCACAGCACGAGACCCCACAGGCTGACGGAAAAGAAGGGCCCTAGGAGAGGGCATATTAAAGGAGTAGTGCGATGTGTTGCTAAGCTATGAGGCTCCCTGACAGGCTTGGCACAGGCCTAACCCTACCTGACAGGGAGATTCTTGTAAGGTCTTGAGAAGGCACCCTTGGCTTACTACCCTAGAAACCACGAGTCCCCATAGACTCTACCTTCCCTTCTCCTCATGTCTTGATCCAACCCCTGTAGGGTTGTTCCTGATAATCCTTCATTTATGAATTAGGCTGTATTAGTTAGCTGTCTTGTAATAATCCCAGGGAGCTAATAATTATTAGCTCAATGATACCTAACCATCATATAGTTCATGTATGGTGTCAGCTGAGCCAATCAAAGTGTGAGTGAGTGGCCCTCCAGTCTTTCTGGAATGGCCCATAAGTGGTCTCATCACTGCACTCAGCTGGGTTTGGCTGGGTGGCTCTGTAGAGAATGGCTGGGGCTGGGAATGTGGCTTAGTGGCAGAGTGCTTGCCTCGCATGCATAAAGCCCTGGGTTCAATTCCTCAGTACCACATACACAGAAAAAGCCAGAAGTGGCACTGTGGCTCAAGTAGAGTGCTAGCCTTAAGCAAAAGAAGCTCAGGGACAGTGCCCAGAGCCTGAGTTCAAGCCCTGGGCCTGGCAAAAAAAAAAAAAAAAGTACAAGAGAATGGCTGGTAGTTCTGTAGAGAACTTAGAGCCCCAAGTGATGTTTGTGAGCTTGATGCTCAGGCTCTGATTGTTTCTTGGGTCCAATGGATCCCTTTTTAAAAGTCTGATAACATGTCATTGTAACCCCTCTGAACGGTATTTTCACAATAAAAAAAAAAGTCAGATAAGATCCTGAGAAAGGCCAGCAGCTGAGGGAATGTTGGCCCAGGCCCACAATATGAATCGTCCCCTTCCCTGCCCCCCTGCCCCCACCCCCACCCCCCACCCCCGTCATCACCACAGCCATGAGCTGTCCAGCCAGCGTCCAGTTTCCTTTGCACCCAGCCTGTTCAGTCCCATCTAAAACAACTTTCTTTTGTTTCTCGGTGTCTAGGTCAGGGCGGGGGGTGTGGGGGGAGTTGTCAGTCTCTGAGAAGAGTATTTTCTCTGAACATGAAATGCAGCCACCATCAGAGAAAGCCAGAGGGTCAGAGAGGATTTGACATCATTTTAAGGAAATCCATCCTCTGGTTGGTTAGGTCTGGGCAGAAGCAGATACCCATTTTGTAATTTAATATTCCTTCCTGTGGCCAGCATCACTAACCCTGTTCCCCGGGGAGACTGGAGTGGGAGTGGGGAGGAGGGGGGGCCTGTCCTCGACAGAGTCCCACCAGATTCGGACACCCTGCTGACCCCCAGAGGCAGTACAATGTGGCCTCCTGGGCCTGAGACAGGGCAGGAGGCTGTCTTCCCTGAAGAGAATCTTCCTTTTCCCCAGATCAGCACTCCAGGATATTTGACCATGTTCCCAGATAATGTGTTCCTTGCTGGGTAGTTTGGGGGCAAGTTATTGTCTTAGCCTCCGGGCAGTATGATGGTGTCTCTCAGGAGTGAGATCTAATTGATGGGTGTAAAATTAGCAGTTGGTACCCAGAATAGTGCCTGGATGATAGGACAGCGTGTTCTTTTCTCCCCTTTTCCTAGATGAGGGAGAAAGCATCAGCTTTCTGTGGGGGAGGGGGGAGCCTGGAGCACAGCCAGGGCACCTAGAGGACACAATGGTGTCACAGATGTCATCCATGTGACAAGTAGATATGTGGTGTGCTTGCAGTGAGTGCTCTGAGGACCAGCAGAATCCAAGGTCGGGCTTGGAAATGGAGACCCTGAGGGTCTGCTCCCTGAGGCTCTCTTCTGCCTGCCTGGAGGTAGCAGGAGCAGCCTGGGCCAACACACTGAGCAGAGAATGGGCCTGGGGTCAGCAAGAGTGTGGAGTGGCTGCAATGGAGACTAGAAGGGCCCAGCGGGAACTGAGGGGATGTGGGAATTCACACAGGGCCTTGAGTTTGGCTTTGGCTGTGAGTGGGTGGGAACGTGGATCTGTAGAGAGGCTGAAGCTGAGGCATGATGGGTTCTGGCAGGTTTGGGCTGGTCCCTCTGACCCTGGTTATACCAGACACACTGATGGAGGGAGTGAGAGAAGACTGGAGACACAGTTTATGGCTCCCATCCTCACAGGCCCTCATCCCTCTGCTGCCTGGCAGAGACGAGCCATCTGGCTTTCCTGACAGCAAGAACGTGTTTTCCCTCTTTTCTAGCACTACCTGTGCCTTCTGGGCTCAGACGCAGGAAGAGAAGACCTGGTCTCCAGGGGGCTCCCAAGAGCCACATGAAGTACCGCCCCACTTTCAGGCCTGTGCATGTACATGTATGGCGTGCATGTGTGTGTGTCTCTTGTTTGTACACATGCATGAGCATGTGTGCCTGTGCTGGTATGGGTTGGTATGTTTGTGTCTCAGTGTGCATGTATGCACAGGTATCTGTGTGTGCATGTCTGTACCACCACGTGTGCATGTGTATAGGGGTACGTGTTTTCCCATGTGTGTTTGCATCAGTGTGCATGTATGTTTGCATGTGTGTGTGCTCCTGGAACAAAACGGAGAGTGGGTGAGTTTGTCTGCGGCTGTGACTCCACTTCCTTGGTGCATCTGTGCCCACTTACCTCCCAGGTCTCCTGTGTGACACTGGAGTCCCTCTCTTCTGTAATGTGTCCCCAGAAGTGTGTCTGGAATCCTCTTCCCCACAGCTGCCTCCTGATCACCAGGCTAGCAGTGCATTCATGATGTGGGCTCTGAAGAACAAAAAAAAAGGGGGTCCAATGCCCACATACACACCCCACTGTAGGCCAGGATACCAAGTCCACGGTCAGCTTAGGACCATGAAGGAGGGTTGGCAGCCACGGAGTCCTGGGGGCTGCCGCTGTCTCTTGTCCCCACAGCAAAGGCTGCTCGTGGATCCCATACTCCTCAGACTCTGTTAATTCAGTGCTGCTTAGAACATTGGTAAACCGATGGCGAAGGAAAGGGCGTAGCACCTAGCTGACACCCCTGCTCTGATGTGTCCGGTTTTTCCTCTGGAGACTTTTAACTCTGTGGCTGTATAATGATGGAACTCTTGGCATCTGTGTCTATGCACAGGACACGTGGAAGAACCGGCTGGTTTTAGTAAAACAAATGGCATTTGGGCGGGCACCCCACGGAATCACCCTTGGATACACAGACCTGGGGTCAGTGCCTAGGGAAGGATAGGGGGGGGAAGCCTGGCATCAGAGTCCTTATCTCACAGGCTCTGGCATCCTGGGCAGGCTCGTGAACCCCTCTGACCCTTGTTCCAGATTTTTCTCGCCCTGCACTGCTGGGTTTCCTGGAGGCTGAATTGTAACCTTGGCATGTATATTCTTGGAGGCTAGAAGATACCCCACGTAGGAAAGGAGAGGAGGAATGGAGAGTCTATTCTGTTGGTTGCTTTTCACTTATCTGAAAGTCTCACTGGCCAGATTGGCTGCCATACTAGTGGTAAAAGCAGAGGCAGAGGCGCACTTCGAGTAACTATGGATGACAAGGATACCCTGAAATGCCTTGTGGAGAAAGGAGTTTCAGAGTAGGCCTCCAGGGATCTAGTTCTGACAACCCCCTGACTTCACTCAGCCTCTGGAAAGACCAAGTCCCATGCAAGTTGGCAATAGCAGACACAAGACAGTTCCAGAAGCCCCGAGTGCCTGTCTTAGTCTGTTTCTGTCACTGTCACAAAATGCAAGAGGCTGGCGATTGACAGAGAAAAGAGTTTTAGCTAGCTCCCAGTTCTGAGGTGTAAGAGCGTGGTGCCAACGTCAGCTTGACCTTTGCGGGGGTTCTGAACGTGGAACAGGAGGAGCTTGTGAAGCAGTTTATGAACATGAGACAGAAGAAAGAGGTGAAAGCCAAGGCAGAAGGACTTGGGGTTCCCCCCACCCCTCTCCTTTGCATCTGTTAGGCCAGGCTGTAGCTGCTGGTAAAACCAGAGAGAACTTTGTATCTGATTCTGAACAAGTCGTCAGGCAGCAGGGCAGTGTCTCAGGCCTGGGCAGGAGACAGGACTCTGTTCTATGGCTTATTGAGCAGAGATGAGAGGAGGAAAAGGAGGAGAAGGAAGAAGAGACCAACAGTAGCCAAAAGAAGCAAAACTGTAGGATTAGAGATGGCAAGGCGCTGTCTCCCCTCCCTGAAGACCAGAACATCTCTAGGAGGGAAACAGAGTCGTGCTGTTCCTCCACCCTCCTGACTCTCCTGTCTCCCACCAGGATTCACAGATACCTTCAACATGGACACCAGGAATCCCCGCGTCATCCCTGGCTCCAGGGCCGCCTTCTTCGGGTACACGGTACAGCAGCATGACATCGGCGGCAAGAAGTGGTGAGTGACAGCTGCCCCCATGCCCCATCCCAAACCATGGCGCTTCCCTCCAGCCTTCCCCCAGCTGCTCCGACTGGTCCTCACCCAAGTCACTCTGGTCTCCCATAACAGAATGCCTTGTTCCAGCAAGCCAGAGTCTGGGGATCTCTGCCTTGGATGACAAGGGCTTGCGCGTTTGATCTCTCGGGCCTGTCATCCTCTCGACTCCTTCTCTGGGTCATGTGACAAGAGGTACCTAGGCGCACTGGCTATCTCCCTTCCGTCCCCCTCGGGACTACGTGTCCCCCATTGCTCTGGTCCTGCCTAGCAGTGCGCATGTCCGTGAGCTTCTCTATGGCCACAAGGCATCAGTGGAGAAAGAGACAGAGACAGAAAGAGAGACAAGAGACAGAGACAGAGAGAGAGAGCCTCAAGCCAGGAGGGACCCCCCCACACACACCCTCAGGAGGGGCGGGGGGGTTCCACTTCTGATTTTTAAATAACCACTGCAGCCCCTCTCCCCATGAGAGCCACTCACTTTGAACGTGCTTGCTGATCTGTTTTTAATAAACACCCCCACGTTGTGCAGCGATCAGCACCAGTCATCACCTCCGACAGGCCTCGCACACGTGTGCTGTTATTTCCTGTTCCCTTCCGAGTGGCTGTCACTGTCAGAAGGCAGGGCCTCCCCTCTTCATGCTTCCAGAAGCTCAGCCTTTCTCAAAGCCCTCCTCATAAGCACTGGAAATAGACATCCTTCACCACCCTCTGCTCAGTCTGCCCCTCTTCCCTTACCTTCTCTTTTGACTGCTCAAGCATCTGGCCCAGTGGCCCTGCTTCTGGGTTCCAGCTCTGGAGGCCTTTGTACATCAGCTTTCCTCTTCCTGGGTGCCTCTCCAGCCTTCCCTGTGCTATCACTACCCTGGCAGCCCAATCTGCAAATTCCCCTCCACCGCCACCCTCTTCTTTTACCTTCCTCCTCCTTTCTTTTCCTCCTTCTACCTTCCCCCTTCTTCCTTCCTCGTTTTATTTGTTATTGTTCTGTTGAGCTATAACTTGCAATAAAGTTATCTTCGTGATAAAGCATAGATACTGTGCAGCTCAGTGAGCATTTATGTATATGTATGTTTGGGGCATCGGCTCCCAGAACAAGATATGGAACCAGGCTCTCAGCAGGGAGATTTCAATGTTTCGTAATGGAATGTCACCGGCAGTGCATTTATTTGTTTATTATAGATACCTTCAGATGAAAGTCTTCTCGTACTCCTAGTTTTCTGAGATTTGTTTTTACAACTCATGAACAGGTGTTGAATTTTATCAAATGTTTTGGCCAGAATTGAGACGACTCTGTAGTTTTTTTCTCTCTCTTTTTTTGCCAGTCCTGGGGCTTGGACTCAGGGTCTGAGCACTATCCTTGACCTTCTTTTGCTCAAGGCTAGCACTCTACCACTTGAGCCACAGAGCCACTTCTGGCTTTTTCTGTAGTACTGAGGAATCGAACCTAGGGCATCATGCATACTAGGCAAGCACCCTACCACTAAGCCACATTCCCAGCCCTCTGTGGTTCTTCTTTACACTTTAAGGTGGTTTAATTACATTGGTTCATTGAGTTGTTTTGCTTTGGGCTTTTTTGCTTATTTTGCATTTTGTCTTTATTTTAGTCTACAACTGACTTTGTATCCCTGGGATAGCCCCACTAGGTTCCCTTCACGATTCTCCCATGTCTTCCCAGGAATTTGGTTCCTAGGAGACACTAATTTCACGGGGTAGATTTGCCTATAAGGGTTGTGTGCTGCTGCTGGTGGTTTTAGTAACTCTTTTAGGTTTTGGCACTGTAATTGCTCAAACTTCATAAAATGTGTGGAATACTGCTCTCACTTTCGCTGTCCTTGGTTGAACATAAGATTTCTATCAAGGTCTTTAAGTATTTGGGAAGTGAAGCATGGTAGCATCTGGAGTTTTCTTTGCGGGAAGATTTTTAACCATGGATTCAACTCTTTAAAGATTTCCTCCTATTTGGATTTCCTGTTGTTTCTTGCATTTGGTTTTTAACTCTTCTTGGTTGTGTGAAGGGTTAAGGATTAACTTGAGCTGACTTTTTCCAAGATATAATTTATTTGGCCCAAGTATTGTTTCCTGGGCATCTGTTGCAAGTTTCACTAAGATCTGCAGAGTTCTGGTGTGAAGAAGGCATGGTTTCCCTCTCAAGTAATTCACAGACCATTTGAAGAGGCTTAGAACTAGCATCCTTGAAGTAATCTAAAAACAATTCAGCACAAAAGATGACATGGTAGCAATTACAGTCATCTTGGTGAGGCTACTTTCTCCATGAGGTCTTTCTAGATCTGTCTGCTATCCTAGAGTGACCTTCTGCTTTCCAGGCCTGGCCAACAGCACATATCACCTGAATATATCCCAGGCCCAGGGCTCAGCTACCTTGTGGGACACTCACTTCATCTCCCTGAAGCCTCAGGGCAGCCGGCACATGCTTAAGGCAGAAATCTCAGGCAGAGGCCCAAAGGAGGAATCCTGGCCTGCGGTCTCTTCACGGAAGAGGGGCATTTGAACAGTGCCTGGGGGTTGGGGTGAGGTTAGTGTACAGATCCCCTGGCTTCTGCCAATCCAGTGCATTGTGGGAAAGAACTTGGATCCTGGGAGGTCACACCAGTGTGTGTGAAGAAGCAGATTGGCAGCCTGAGGGCCCGGGTCCTCTGGGCCTTGTGCAAAACAGGCCTTTCCGGAAGTCTTGTCCCTGCTTGTAAGGCCTTCACCTCATGTTCCTGCAGGCAGCCTTCCAGAATTTTATACCCACCAAGGAGCTGGTGGTCGCTGATCATGGGAAAAGAGGTTAATAACGAGGTTATTGGTGGACACTGCCTGAGTGCTCTAGCGAGGTTATTTGGGGAACTCTGAGTCCGTGCGTGGCCGGGTGGATGTGTCGATCCAGCTCTATGCAGAAGATGGAGAACAATGGCTTGGTGCAAGGCTCTGTCACTGGTAGAAAGGGCTTGGCTGAGGCTCCCAGCCCTAGGCCATCTCTGCTGTGGTCAATAGTCATCTCAGGGAAGGGTCAAAGAGGACCCAAAGAAGGAATGAATGTCCACATTATCCAAGGGGGAAATGATAACTGAGTTGCTTCCTTCAGCTGTTCATGATGGATCGTCCCTCCAGCCCCATGATGGACAGCCCTCAGCCTCAGGATGGACAGGCCACTGCACCCCTCCACCCATCCCCATGATCAACAGCCCCTCCCAGTCCCAGAATCTCCCTTCCTTCTGGTACTTCCTGCTTACCAGCTCCTCTCCCAGGCAGAGCTCACACAGCCGGCTGCATCCTCTAGACAGAAGTCTGTATTTCTGAAAGAGCCCAGTGGGGAGACCATGGTCTGGAGGGTCTATGAGACGGGGTAGCCCCCGGCTGCCTGGAGGTGTAAGAGACGAGGAGAGCAACAATAGGAAGGTCCACTCCTCACAGGTCTGGGTGCACTGGGGTGTCCCGGACACAGGGCTCCGGGCAGGGGCTGCCAGCTGCCAGGACAGGCCGGTGGGGTGACCACCTCACCTTCTTCCTCACCCTCCCTTTGCCCGCCACACCGCCAACTCAGAATGCAAACCAAACGAACCAGGGAGACTCCAGACATCTTGAACTGTTTCTCACACATTTGGATTTCAGCAACCACCATACACTTGTGGCACAAAAGAGCAAAGGGAAAACAAATTCTTCTGGGGCTGAGTGTTCTCTGCCCCTGCCTTTTAAGCCCTTGTGGATTCTCAGAGAAATCCGAGCCACAGGACTCTGGCCATTTGCAGTGACAGGATTAAGTCAGCTGGCCAGGTGGCCACTTAAGGTCCCCTGCAGCCACTTGGTGTCCCCACAGCTTCTACTGAGGCCCTTGGGGCCTCTCCCTTTTGCAGGACCCTTGTGGAGTTGAGGGTAGAGCCTTCTGCCTCCTCTTCAGGGCCTCAGGAAGCAGGCCTCCATGAGGGGAGCCCATAGGGTGTATGGACCTTAAGAACATGAAGGCAGTCTGAAGGGCCTGGGTGCAGGCCTGTCCCCATTGTATACAGGGCACTGGGATTCGAGGAGAGGACAGTGGCCAGGAGAGGGCACAGTGTCAGATCTGCTGCAGTGAGCTGTCCTCAGAGCTGAGGCACAGAACAGGAGCAGCTTCCCTGGAGCTGGCTGAGAACCCAAGACCTTCCACCACCAGGCCATCCCCTCCAGCTTCGCTGCTGGCCTGTGGCAGCAGGGCTGGGATATCTGCATAGATCCCTGAGTGTGGCAAGGGCAGGTGCAGCCCAGTGGACGAGAGATGCAGGCCCAGGACACTCAATCACAACAGAGGGTTCTGAGAGAGGAACACACGGAGAATTCTGGCCAAGGTCAGAGATGCAAAAGAAAACACATTAGAGAAAAGGCACTACTGCTACGCTGGTGGAGAAATGCCCCGAAGACAGAGCCACAAGGCCCAGGCCAGAAGGTGAGCACCAGCTCTGACCATGTTCTGACCAGGTTCTGTCATGCCTGAGGACTGTATCTGGAGGCGATCGGGAGCCACAGAGACTTTAGATTGGGAGAGTGGGCCACCAGAATTGTGCCTGAGGGCATCAGCTCAGCCTCCTGTGCGGGTGAGATCAGAGCAGAGAAGGGAAGGAAGACCAGAAGAGCCAAGACCACCCAGCCAAGGGATGGGGAGGGTGCTCAAAGAGAGGCCTGCTTTGTGATTCATGTATTCATTCATTCAATGAATTAATACCTGTTGAGAGCCCGTTCAATGTTGGGCAACGTTTCCAGGTCCTGCAAGAACTGTAAACCACTATGTATTGTCTATGTAGTGGAGAAGCTTTGGGCAGGGCTGGAAATTGTGGGAGTGGTGGTTATGGTGAGGACCCTATCCTCCAGGCTGTCCAAGAAAGCCTGAACAATGGTTGGCCATGCCACAGACCCGAAGGACCAAAGGAAAGGAAGAATCCATGATAATCACAGAGTTCCAGGCCGTAGGTCTAGGGAGTGTAAAGGTCCCAAGGCAGGAACAAAGGTAGCTGGAACAGAATTCACTAAGACAGGAACCAATGGAGTAAAGTGGGAGGTCTTAGTGGATGAAGGGTGACTAACAGATCTCTGACTGGGAAGATAGCAATGTCCTTAACACTAAAGCAAAACCCTAGCAATGAGATGCAGGCCTTCGGACAACCAAGAACTTTGGACCCCTTTGGCTTGAAAGGATACAAGGGTCTCCCAGGCCTGTTATCTCAGAAGTCTAAGACCTTATCTTAAAAATAACCAGCAAAAAAAAACCAGGGCTGGAGGCATGACTCAAATGATATGAGTATACCCAGCAAGTGCAAATCCCTGAGTTCAAAACCCTAGTGCTACAGAAAGGGAAAGGGAGATGGGGGGGGGATGGAAAAAGGGTATCTATTGCTGGGCAGAGCTGCTTTTACCCAGCCCTGTCCCTCTCCCTTCTCTGATGACAGTCAGACCTGGGCCTTGTTGGCTGCGGCAAGCTCCCTCAGGAACACGCTCCACTCTTCCTGCCGCAGCCCCCACAGCAGGCTCCCAACGCCGCAGCACATAAATACCCTCTGCTATTTTCCCTTGGAACAAATAAAATCCTCACCATGACTCACTCTGGTTTAAGGATAAATCACTACAGAAGCAAAGGCCAGGATAGAATGACGCCGCCCACCGCCAGAGAGCCAGAGAGAGAGAGAGAGAGAAACTGTACTGGCAGGAAATGCTGGCCACAAGCCCCAAGGCCAGGCCACCAGGCAGACCCTGGAGGGAGCACTGGAGAGACAATGCAGAAGACTGGAGAAGTGGAAAGAGCTAGAACACTCCAGACAGCTATCCTCGCTGAGCAAGAGGAGGAGGGGGGCGCTGGGAGCCTTGGCCCCTCAGAATCACAGGCAGGTGGAGGAGCTTGGAGGTCTCAAGGGGGGAGACTCAGCAACCCAGACCTCAGCTGCCACCTGCCAGTGGTTCCCCAGCCCCACACAGTTCCCAGGAAGTTCATTTTTCTTCTTTCCTTTGAACACCAAACCACAGCAACGTTACAGGATTGGAGAGTGGGGCTCAGGTAACTCTGACATATACAGACTGGGCGGCCAAGATGGAACCTGCCCTCAGTGCCAAGTTCCAAGAGGCAGGGAGCCAACCACTGCATGCTTTCTGGGTAAGAAGACGTACAAGCTTGGTAGCAGAAACACTGAGAAGAAAGCCTCCTGGTTACTAACTTCCAAGAAAGAGAACAAATTAAATGTGGGTAAGATCAGGGAAGCCAGGAGGATTTGCCAAGTCAGCACTCTCTGCACCGGCTTCTTCCCATCCCCCAGCAGCCTGTGGCTCATAGGCTGTCCCCTGACATTCATTCTGGGACTCCAATACCAAGAGAGGGAAGGAGAGGCCTCATGTGAGGAGCTGTGATTTCCCCAAGCGGCCTGACTCCATCTTGAGAGCAGATTGCTATGAATTTTCTACATTTGTTTCCACGCTGGTCCTCTCAGCTCATAAGAGCTGCAAGTTCTGTGTCCACAGATCCAAGCAACTGCAGAGATTGAAAATATCCTGGAACAACTAGCTGTTTGTACCGAACCACGGACATACTCGTTTTCTTGTCGTGATTCTGTGTTTCACCTACAGAGATGAAACCATCTTCAGGGCTTCATTGACCTTGACGTTAAAAGTAATCTAAGGTGGGCTTCTAGTATCTAGGAAGATGAGCAGCTTTCCTGTAGGGACTCAGGGCCTTTGTATCTGCCAATGCTGCGCAGACACCAACAGGCAATTGTACTTGGGTTGTCTTGTTTGTCTTTTTGTGGTGCTGAAGCTTGAACGCAGGGCTTTGAGCTTGCTGGGCACGTGCTCTACCACTTGAGCCACCCTTTCCAGTCCTTTTTGTGTTTCGTTCACGTTTCAGAGAGTCTCCTGCTTTTCTATTGTGCTCAGCCAGTGACTCACACACACAACTATGGCAAGGCCAATGTACAAGAGCGTGGAGTTTCCCTGGTCGTGTGGTGCCCACAGCAGGAGATTGGGTATCCAGCCCCTGAGCGGCCCTACAGGCCTGGGGCTGCCGATGGCTATATAAGACTGAGGCTGCAGGGGGTGGCAGGGGCTGCCAGACCCCAGCAGCAATTTAGCTGCTTTGGATGGTGACGTGGGCCTTCCCCCTGCACTTGGGCAGTGAGCCCCTCAGCCAGAGACTGAATCATGCCTTCCAAACCTCAAGCCCGCCAGGCACACACCACGTCCAGACTCCAGCGTCGAAAGGAGGCTGGCCCAGTCTCCCTTCCTAGGAGAGCCATCCCACAGGAACTTCAGTCCCAACCCTTACACAAACTGGGGCTCCCTCCACCCCTCTCTTGGGAGCCTCCATTTCAGAAGCCCCACTCCCAAGAGACATGGGATCTGGAGAGTGGAGATGGAATTCTAGAATCGGCTTTTGTTCTTGAAGAAGGCCAAAGCCCAGCCTTGTTGTGAATATGGGGTCATGATAACTTAGCTGATTGCCTGCCAGATTGCCCCCATCTTGGCCATCACTCGGATATCTGGCCTCTGGGCAGCCACCAGCCTTAGGCATAGTTCACCCAGATATGGCCACTTCTGCTTCTCGGGGTCTCCTGTCACCTGTGGCTTTCCACAGTAGCTCTGGGAACTAGGTAGTACAGGATGGCTAACCCCAGTTCACAGCCAGGAAAAGCAAGACTTGAACAGTTACACAATTTCCCAAGGCCACCCACGAGCTGTTGACGGGCCCTGAATGATGACCTAACTCCAGGAGTCTCGGCCCAAGGGTCTTGCCCTCTGCTGGGGTCCCTTCAGTGGCCCTGAGACCCCAGTAATGGGGAAGCGGGGAGACAGACGGGGAGGGCACTTCTAGAGGATGGAGGGGAGGGGACAGACAGGGACGATGCTTCTAGAGAGTGGATATGCAGACTGGCCCCAGGAAGATTTGGTCACACATCCACTGAACCTTGAAATTCGCAGCAGCTGGAAGAGCAAGCTTGGAGCGCAGGCTTTCTTTCCTGCTCATTCTCCTCTCGCTCTTGTGCTTGCGTTCCCTCTCGCTCCTTCTCGCTCAGAATGGAGCAGCCTTGACCACAGAATTAAGTAGCCAAAAGTCACGTCGTCTAGACAAACAGACTTTATGGGTCCAATTAATTCCTGCCAGTCACAAATTGGCATGCCTAATAAGGGGCTATATTTAGGCCCTGTCATTATGTGGCTCCCCAGGGAGAAGCCTCAGCTCCTATTTCACAGACATTTCATTTCAGACAGAGCCATGTCAGCCCTGCTTCAGACTTGACTTGCTTTATTGATGGCACTGAGGCAGCCGGGCCAGGGCAGGGGTGCGTCCAACCAGGAGATACCACTGTGGCCTATGCCACCGAGGCCTGCAGCCACCTCCTCTCAGTGGTCTTAGGTCAGAAATTGAGATGAGGCTTTTTCTCTGGGCCATGTGGCCCAGGGATGGTCTCAAAACCCTCTCTCCCAACAGGGTTTAAGTGGGCTCCCAGCTCCCTCTCCCCCTACTCCCTCCCACCACCACCCTGTGCCCCAATCCCAGTGTTTTTCTTTCCAGTGCAGGCCTGGAAGTCTGTAGGATTATCTGGGTATGTGGGGCCCACCCAGGGAATCCAGAACAATTTCAACTTCATATCCATGACTTATCTCTATCTCCAGAAACCCTTTCTCCACATAAGGTCACAAAGATGTAAGCTCAAGAGGAAACCCAGTGCTGGGAATGTGGCTTTGTGGTGGAGTGCTTGCCTCGCATGCATGAAGCCCTGGGTTTGATTCCTCTCTACCACATACACACAAAAAAAGCCCAAAGTGGTGCTGTGGCTCAAGTGGTAGAGCACTAGCCTTGAGCAAAAGAAGATCAGGGACAGTGAGTTCAAGCCCCAGGACTGGCCACCCTGGCCACTCTTTTTTGTTGTTGTTGGTGGTGGTCATGGGGCTTGAACTCTGGGCCTGAGCGCTGTCCCTCAGCTCTTCAGCTCAAGGCCAATGCTCTACCACTTGAGCCACTGAGCCACTTCCGGTTTTCTGAGTGATTTATTGGAGATAAGAGTTTCACAGACTTTCATGCCCAGGCTGGCTTTGATCTGCAGTCCTCAGATCTCAGCCTCCTGAGTAGCTAGGATTACAGGCGTGAGCCACCAGTGACCAGCTGACCCTGGCCACTCTCAATAGATTGCGCTGTAAGAAGACTTAGTAGTCCCTGAATAACCCCTACCCCCACCCCGGGCCCAGCTAGAAACCTTCACTGTAAGATCAGTGAGGCCCTGTGAAGAAATGGCAGATGACCCAAGACCCCATGGCTTCAAGAACATCCCTCTACCTGCCTCCACTGTGGAACCTGCACCTCTTTACAGGCCCCCGAGAGCCTGTGAAGACTTTGTCCAGGCACCTTCCCCTCCTCTGCATCCCCTGTCCCCCAGCATCTGTTGCAGGACCCCAGTAACAGGTGACAGGCTGAACTTGCAGCCTGGCTGCACACTGCCCAGCCCCCCCACCCCGGCTCTCCCCCACCTCCTCACTGTCTCCCTTCCTCACAGGCTGGTTGTGGGTGCCCCACTGGAAACTAATGGCCACCAGAAGACGGGAGATGTGTACAAGTGTCCAGTGACCCAGGGAAATTGCACCAAGCTCAACCTGGGTAAGTGGCTGCCGGTCTCCTCATAGCCAGGCTGGCTGCAATTGCCTACAGAGGAGGCTCTGTTTCACTATCATCTGGCTCCTCCCAGATGCCCTGTCACGTGACCCAGATAGCATGGCTGCCACCACCTTACAGATGAGGAAGCTGAGTCCAGAAACAGGAAGTGGCTTCCTAAGGGCCACACAGTTTGTGGGGCCCCAGGACACACAGCCAGGTGCTCCACTTCCCAGCCCAGCCTCCCCCCTTCACGCGGAGGCCTCCCTAACACGAAAGCCTCCAGTGTCTTTCCTGACTGGAATTCTCACAGCAAGAGCCAACATAGATAACGCTCTGCAGGTGCCTGGCCCTTGCTTCAGCACCTTTGAGGTGTGTGAGCTCATGTACTTCCCATCCAGACCAGGAGGCAGCCCGGACAGGCTTCCAACTCTTCCAGGCTTTGGCCACTTCACTCTGTGTTCCCAGCACACCTGGGGCTCTGTCTTCCTTGTCCTAACTGTAGAAGGGTGGTAGGTCATCACTCTACCTTCAGAAGGAAGCAGAGTTCCACAGGGGCTTCCTTGCCTTCCAGCCCAGCTTCTCCTGGGCATCCCCCTCCCCCAGAAGTGTCTGTCATTCATGCTTTTGGGCTAAAGCATCACCAGGGTTCTGGGCGGTGAGGAGGACCCGCAGGTTGGTGGGGGGGGGAGCACAGAACAATCCCAGCCACCCAACTCTGCCCAGAGGAGATAGACTTGATTCTAAAAGGAGACTTGCTCAAATCTGGGGGAAGCCAAAGGGAGAAAAATGGCTTGCAGACCTGGTCGCATGCCTGCCACTTGGCCTCTGCGGTTACTCCTGGCTTTGCTGAGCTGGGCACTAGAGGCCATCTCTTCATACTTCCCGTCACCAACCAACAAAGCAGAAAGCAAACTGTTGCAGGCTGGAGCTCCAAGAATGCACAAGCTCTTACCTGTTCCACCCCTTTTGCCCATGTGCACATATACACACACATACACGTGCATGCACACAGACACATGCATGCACACACACTTCTGGAGAATTCAAGCTCTTTCTCTTCCCTTCAGTGGCCTGACAGAATGGACAGAAAACCTTACGTGGTCTCATTGTCCTGGGACTCTGCCCTGTACCTCCCTTTCCAAGCCCAGTCATCTAGTGCTGCTGCCCTGAATCTCTCCCAGGAGTCAGTCTGGTGCTGGAGGCTCTGGGCAAGGCCTTTCCCCTCCCAGAGGCTCTTGTCAAGTTGTCTGTTCCTTATCTAAGGGAGAGAAGTCCTCAGTTACTATCCATGAGCTTGGCAGATGAGCAGGGGTTCCCAAAGAGTAAGCCTCAGACAGTGAGGAGTGATGGGAGGTTGAAGAACGTGGACAGGACCCTGGACAGAGGAATCTGCCCCAGTGGGTGCCATAGTGCTTCTAAGATGGGGCACAGACAGTCTCTCTGAGACTCAGAGAGCTAGAGGAAGGAATCAATTCAAGACTGAGAAAAGCTGGCAAAATGTTGGGTAGGTGAGGGCCCCAAACATCTAAGTGACCCCTGGCAGTCTCAGACTCTGGGTGGAGGGCTGGAAAGGGCTGCAGGCCAAACTGCTTCTCCCTCTACTCCAGGGAGAGTCACCCTGTCCAATGTGTCTGAGCGAAAGGACAACATGCGCCTTGGCCTGAGCCTGGCCACCAATCCCAAGGACAACAGCTTTCTGGTAAGAACCCACAGCCTGCTTACCCAGGCCTATCCCATCACACAGCCCCACTGCATGGGTGTGTGTGTGTGTGTGTGTGTGTGTGTGTGTGTGTATATATATATATATATATATATACATATATATATATGTATATATATATATACATATATCCATCCCTCATCCATCTACCTAACCATCCATTATCTATCATCTGTCCATCATCTTCCATTAACCATCCATCCACCCATCATCATTATTAATCATCAGCCATCTACCATCCGTCCATCATCTATCCATCCACTCATCCATCCATCATCCATCCGTCCACCATCCATCACCCACCCATCCATCATCATCCATTATCTATCAACACCCATCTATCATCATCTATCAATCACCTGTCAACCATCCGTCATCATCCATCCATCCACCCATCCATCCTTCACCCATCCATCATCATCCATCTTCCATTCAGTTCATCTGTCATTTTCCTATTCTTCCATCTTATTCTTTTCTGTTTTTTTTTAACAGGACTCGGATTTGAACTCAGAGCCTTGTTCTTGCTAGGCAAAGGCTCTACCACTTGAGCCATACCTCTAGCCCTTTTCATATCATTAATTTTCAAACAGGATTCTCCTATGTATACTTCTCATAACTGGGATGATAGATGCGCACCACAGTACACAGCTCCTTATGGGTTCCGTTGGGTCCCACTTTCTTCCTTCCAGGCTGACCTGGAACTGTGATCCCCCTATCCGCCCCTCCTTAGTAGGTAGAGCTGCAGTCGTGAGCCACCATGCCTGGCTCCTCCTTCCATTCTTTATTCTTCTCCATACTTCCAAACATTCCAGAAAAAGACACAACTAAAACATTACTTCTCAGCTCTCAGTTAAAAAAATAAGAAAGCTAATTAAAGTTTGAGGGAAGAAAATTACAGCATGAAATAGAGCTCTAGGCTCTTTGATGGCAGGACAAAGACACAGGCAGGCTGGGTTTTCCTTCCTTCCTTCCTTCCTTCCTTCCTTCCTTCCTTCCTTCCTTTCTTCCTTCCTTCTTTCCTTCCTTCTTTCCTTCCTTCCTTCCTTCCTTCTTTCCTTCCTTCCTTTCTTCCTTTCTTCTTTCCTTCCTTCCTTCTTTCCTTCCTTCCTCCCTTCCTTCCTTCCTCCCTTCCTTCCTTCCTTCCTTTCTTCTCTCTTTCTTTCTTTTTTCTTTCTTTCTTTTTTCTTCCTTCCTTCCTTCCTTTCTTTCTTTGCTAGTCCCTGGGCTTGAACTCAGGGCCTAGGCGCTGTCCCTGAGCTTCTTTGCTCAAGGCTAGCACTCTACTACTTGAGCCACAGAACCACTTCTGGCTTTTTCAGTGTATGTGGTACAGAGGAATTGAACCTAGGGCTTCATGCATGCTAGGCAAGCATGCTACCACTAAGCCACATTCCTAGCCCCTGGGCTTTCATTTCTAAGTCCCACTGTAAGAGATACTCACCATTCAGCCCTTCATTGACAGCCTGATGTCAGTATCTTTGGGTAGCAAATTTCACAGATGGAGCAGAGACATTCTGTCTCTTTTTCCTAGTAGGAGCCACAATGTGCTGTTGGTGCCTGATGTGGAAATTGCTCAGTGACAACCTTTAGAGGGTGAAGATCTGGCCTAGTGACTCTCAAAAGATGTGCCTTACACCAGTGCTGGTGGCTCATGCCTGTAATCCTAGATACTCAGGAGGCTGAGATCTGAGGATCACAGTTCAAAGCTAGACGGGGCAAGAAAGTCCGTGAGACTCTTATCTGCAATGAACCACTAGAAAACCGGAAGTGGCGCTATGGCTCAAGTGGTAGAGTGTTCGCCTTGAGCTGAAGAGCTCAGGGACAGTTCCCAGGCCCAGAGTTCAAGCCCCATGACAAACAAAACAAAACGTGCTTTAGTTGAGAAGGGCTGTGTGGGGTGGTCAGGAAGGAGCCCCTCCCCCCTTCCCCCCTCCCCCGCCCCCGTGCTTCAACACTTGGGCATTGATGTTGGTCTGGGAGCTGGGTGGCCGCTGGGCCCGTGTGTATCCCTGTGACTGTACACTCTGCCCCACAGGCCTGCAGCCCGCTCTGGTCTCACGAGTGTGGAAGTTCCTACTACACCACGGGGATGTGCTCACGCGTCAACTCCAACTTCAGGTTCTCCAAGACGGTAGCCCCAGCTCTCCAAAGTAAGTGAGTGCAGACATACCAGGGAAGGCTGTGTGGTGGACATCCAGAGAGGCCCGGGCTCTCGACACTGCTGTCCTGTGGCTACAAAGCAGCATTCAGACTCTGTAATTGCCTGGCCCTGGCCCTCTGGATGACCTGGGAGGAGTCCATCCACCTGGCCGGGCCTCTGTGAGGGTCACACTACCAGCCTTCCAATATGGCAATGAGGAACAATGAGCTGGGCTAATGGAGGCCACTCTGGCATCTTAGGAGTTTGACTGCAAAAGCCCTGAGCGTGCAATAGACAGCCAGGTTGCCACATACGTAGGCAAGCTGTACAATTGCACAAGTCTGGGGCATCATCCGCTCAGACTACAGTGTGAATGGTGCTCCCTAGTGTCCTACAAAGCCGTAGCCTGGTACACAGAGGGCCAAGAACAGCTAAGCCCTGCTAATGTTACACTGGCTCAGGACTCCTGGGCACCAAGGAGACTCAGACTGGCTTTCCCAGAGCCTTGCTCCCAACTATCAACAATCAGTGCTCAGAAACCCTAGACTTCTTGGCTCTGGGTCTCACAATGGCCTCTGTCCTGAACCACAGGCTTAGTACCTGTGCCTTGCTGTCAGCCTCCTTCCCGCACCCAGGCCAGTCAGAGGTGGAAAGATAGCTCTAGGGAGGAGGAGAGAGTCTAAGGGGGCAGAGAGTCAGTCCTGCAGTGTTGGTGGGATACTTCTATTCAGGCTGACAGAGATAAAGGTCACTGAGCTAACTTGGTGTGGCTTAAAAAAATAAATATCATCAGCTAAGATTTATCGGGACTTGCTTTGTGTTTGGAGCGTCTGAAGAATCTTTTCATTAAAACTTCACAGCCACCCTTACTCATTGTTATTCCTCTTTTGTAGTAGAGGAGTCAGCTACTTAAGAACTTGAGCGAATGTCCCCAGGCCCATAGCCAGTGAGTGGCAAGGCCATAGACCACATTCTCCCCTGGCCTTTAACCATGACTCCTCCCTCAGAAGTGAAATCCCTTTCATTTTGGGCTGTGGCACCTGGCACCTGCCAAGGACAGTAAAGCAAATGGAAGCAAGGTCCTGCTTTAGACTGAGCTGGTTGTCTCGGGAGCATTGACCAGTTGGGTAGTGGTCAGTCCCTGATCAGGACCCAAGAAGGTCAGGTTCAATGGAAGCTGGATCCTCATTCATGTTGAAGCTCCCCACCCAAGGTGTGACAGGCATGCAGCAATCCTTTTTGTCATCCCGAGAATGTTTATGCAGAAACTCAAAGGCCTGCAGGGCCTGGCTCCTTGTAGCCCTTACCCTGTCCCTGCCTCCCAGGGTGTCAAACCTACATGGACATCGTCATTGTGCTGGACGGCTCCAACAGCATCTACCCCTGGGTGGAAGTTCAGCACTTCCTCATCAACATCCTGAAGAAGTTTTACATTGGCCCGGGACAGATCCAGGTGAGCTTGCCCCTTTCCAAACAGAGCCCCGGAGACCATGATATGGGATAGGAGGAAGCATCCGTGCTCACGCTAGGGAGGTGTAGGTAAAAGGGCAAGGGCTGATGGGGGACTCACCTCAGTTTCTCTCCTGGGATAGGCTCCATCTATGAGGTTGTTGCCTAGCAGGAGGGCAGGAAGGGTGAACAGATAGAGGATCCTGAGAAAGAGGTTGGGGAGATGAATCAGACATAATCTGAGAGAAGATGCAAGGGGAAACAGGTAGTGGCAACATCACATACTGAAAATGCTGCTGGCCAAAGATGGGGGAGATTCACTCCCTATTATCCTGGCTGAACAAGGGCCAACGGGTAGAATCTCCAATGTGGCAAACATCAAGTCACTCTAAGAAACTGCTCCTAAGGTGTGGGCTGTTGAAAAGGGAGTGGAGCTTCTCATGGCTGTTTCCGGGGACAGAGGGGAGAATGTCTAGCAAGTAAAATGCAACAGGCCCATCCAACAGCAAAAGAGCCTTAGTTCTATCATTGGTTTGCTACACCAAGTCGTTAAGGGTTTTTGTTTATTTCAAAGCTATTAATATTGTCCTTGTTTGATCAGCCTCCAGGATGGAAGACACTTTTCTCTTCCAAGGTCTGAGGAACCTTAGTTTTAGAGTTTGGCACACAGCACCAGCCTTCCCCCTGACTCCACTTCTCTCTTTTTTTTTTTTTTTTGTCGGTCGTGGGGCTTGAACTCTGGGCCTGGGCGCTGTCCCTCAGCAGTTCAGCTCAAGGCGAGCACTCTACCACTTGAGCTACAGC